TGCATACTACCTGAACCCCTTGTTGATCTAACATAAAATAAGATTAGCAATTTCCTCCTAACAGAAATTATATATTATTCACCCATTGTTTTTTATAAAGAGATGTTTCTTTGTTACCACGTTGAAAGCACAGAAACATTTCCAAAGTACTGTATTAACTTGTAGGTCAGCTATATTTGGCCAGAAGGGTTTGTTTATTTTACAGCAATGAGAGGAGTTTAAGCATTAGAAAATGGACTGAGCCAGAACCTAGTTTATTGTCATTTGACTTGGTAAACAAATCTTGCTTTCAATTTGGAAAAACATGGTTTATTTAATGCCAGGCATTAAGTCATTCATCTTTAAGGAAGTTAGTAGCAAATAGATAGGGGAGTGTGTACAAAGCACGTGCCTCCTTAAAAGTAAACAACTCACTCCAGAAAACTAAATTCTAAAGCATTACTTCAAAGAAATGGTATATAATTGGGTCACTAAATGACTGTTTTAAATTATGCAAATACTGTACCAAAGCTCTAAATAATGTTACTTGAAGACAGAAAAGAAATATAACAAAGAGTTATTTGGCAAATGGACACAGAAGTTTTTCTTTTCTCCCTTGATTAGCTGAACAGTGCGGCTACAATCCCAATTGTACACATTTGGGAATCATTCGCTCAAAATTAAAGATATATACAAAAGGTTTAGGAATAGATCTCATGCTTTTAATTTTGAATTATGGAATTCGCTTGGTTAAAGGAGACTAAATAATTTTGTAAAGATAAAATTTAAGAAGACTTTGAAGTAAATACTGTTGTAAGTCCTAAGGCATTAAATGACATTTTGGATTCCAGGGACCAGTTCCTTTATTATCAGTAGAATTATACACAGGATATGTTGCCAACTAATTAAATTACTGTGAGTAGGAAACTAAACATTTTGAATGTAGATTAATAGAATGTGTTTTAAAAAGCAAGCTTTTGGAGACTTTGAGGAAATTATGTTTTATTACACAGATACTCTGAATGAACTCATCCAGATAAATGGTGGAACTGTTTTCTTGCCCCACCTAGTGACTAAAAAGATCACAGAAATTTAAGACCCCGTTTTTCAACACTGCATTATTGTGTTTACCACTGTTGGAAATTAAGAGAAATAAAATTTAGTGATTGTTTAAATTCTTTGAAACTTTTTATTTATATATAACATACTTGTAACAACTGTAGATACTTACTTATGTGAGTCTTTCTGCAGCTGGACCACAAAGTAAGAATTGACTAGATAGCTGGAACTCATAAATGAGAGTAAGAATGCTATTCCTGTAATTTGGACACATATCTGTTCACTCATTCACTCTTAGAAGCTGCTTTTACTTAGAAAAATATGGTGGTTGGTTGACTTACACATACTTGAATACAACAGGTAGTTCATCCTTGAAATAATCCATTCTTGAGAGCTCATGGAGGTATAATGAAATATGTGAGTTATATTCAACATGTGAAAGAATATGACCACCCACCATTACTTACTTCCTGGAATGTACAGAAAACTACAAGCCTTCATTAAGTGGACACAAGTTCTTGTTCCCTAATGAGTGCCCTCATCATTTCTCTTATGTATTCACTACTAGTAAAATGAGTTCCTTGTGTTATTTCTCACCCATGATCTTTTTGTATATTGCAAGAATGACTTCTGTTGTTAATAAATTAATGTTTCTGTCAAGTATATTAAAATAGCAAAAAACATGCTTTTAATTACTGAAGAGAGTCTGTGAAATCAAATCCATCCTGTACATCTGTATTTGATGTATATATTCTGTAATCTTTTTTTTTCCCAGAGTATAATTGGTGTGGTGATTGGGAAAACAGATGCCAAAGGCTTTCCAGACAGAAAAAGTAAAGTTGTTTTTAAGTAATTTGATCTCAGTTTCTCAGGCTCTGTCTTTCTATCAGTGGCTTGGCTAATTAAAAAATATCTGGTGGGAATCTTTTCTGCACAAACTATGTTGAAATGTCAATAGCAATTTCACAATTATACAAGTGGTGATAAAAAGTTAAGGAGAACAAGCTTCCCATCTCTGTCATTATCCTTTGTTGATGTGTCTCTCAATATTTTAAGGATAGGTGCCTGTTCCATAGTTACAGCACTGGGTCTTTCCCTACTTTTGAAGCAATTAACATTAGCAAAATATTTTATTCAGCACTAAAGCAATGGCTTGCACTGACTACATTTCCGAAACTTTTTGTTCCTGTTCCTGAGAAAGTTTTACAAATAATGGTGACCCCTATTGGCATGAGTGAGATTGCTCTGCGTTATTTACATTGCAGTTCCTCATTAGGTGATCCATTAACATTTACCTTATAGCGTTTCTTCTTTGCTGCTGCCTGTATCCCAACTTTCCTAATACAGAATATCTTTTACATATAAGGGAATGGGCACCTGGGACTGAAATGCTGACAATTCACATAAGCAACAAGTATCTCGTACAGCTGTCAGCCCCCAGACCTCAGTTTAATTGAAAAGCTTTATTTGCAGCATGATTTAAGATTTGTAATAGCAGGCAAAATATCAACAATAGGCACATATTATATTACGTGTCTCACACCAAATTCAAATTTTTAATTGGTTTCTTAAATATACCTCTCTCTGCAGATATTGGATCAGAAAGATATACTTTTTGTTTTACTGTTCGTGATTCCCCATCATGGTTCATAAATATAAATTCCTGGGGAAGAGAGGACTATGTTAAATCACTTTCAGAAAGCTTTAGAGTTGGTGATTGTGGTAAGCTGGAATTTATTCTGAACATATTTCAATATGTTTTTCTCTTCTGTAAATCAATATAATGTAGTTGTGATCTTAGTGTGCTTTCCTTCAAGGAGTTATGGGACAATTTAATTGGAACCAATTTTTTCAGTTAGATTAATTGGAAGAAGATACATTCATATATTCAGATGTAGTGAAGCTGTCATGAAGAGACATAAACTTAGAACATAATTTCCCACATTTCTTCTTAGATCTTTATACTATGTTTTACTCTTCTAAGATGTCTCATAGGTATAAAAGTAATTGAAGTCATGATCCTCCTAGACTGAACATGGGAATAACCTAGTAATTCCCATTGAATTAGTGGAAATTACCTTTAAATAAACATACATTATAGAATTATATATTGCATAGCCTTTATTTCATTTAATTATTTCCACTGAAGTGAATGGGGCTTTAAAACATACCCAGTGTTTGTCAATAAAATTTTATTGTGCAAGCCTGCAGGTTTACAATCTAATTTAATGTTATTATTTCTGTTTATTTTTTTATTGTGGCTGTGTATATAAAGATTATTGCCAGGTGCTTTATATGGTTTGAATAAAAGCCATTCAGCCCTTAGCTTACCTTAGCTGGTCACAAAAACCTAAGCCAGGTCAGACCTAGTCAGTACTTGAATTCCACAACAGAATTTCAGGGTTGAAAAGTAATTTTTTTAAAAATCTCAAACAGCAGCAATGGCAAATCACATCCTTGTTGTTGCCAAAAAAAACTCCCCATGGTCACCAGGAGTTGACCCTGACTCCAGAGCTTCTTTGCTATTTTTTCTCCCTTTCATTTGAACAGTTTAAACCAGGCGTGGATAAACTTTATCCTAAAAGAAAAAGCAGACCCATTTTCTCAAGTGTTGGAAGATACAGGTAGTCCCTGGGTTAAGAACACCTGGTTTATGGATGACCCATAGTTAAGAATGGAGCCTACTGTAGCAATTCAAGTTAAATACACAATGATTCGAGTTAAATACACAAAGGTTCGAGTTCATTACACAATACTACAATAATACTATTCTGGCTTACATACAAATTTGATTTAAGGACAGATCTTGGGAACAGAACTTGTTCTTAAATTGGGGGTGTATTTGGGGATGGGATTGTTTGATCTCTTTCCTTCCAGATATGGAAGGAATGGAAAATTTGTTTGCATTGGAATCACTAGGAGGGGAATTTAAAGATTCATCCCCTGGCCTGATAATCTTAGCTGTTCCAGGATCAGCCAGAGATGTTTAACTCTGGGAACAGTTTGATCCTGTTGCTCCTGAGGAAGTGGACAGGGTCCTGGGGACTGTGAAGGCCACCACTTGCCATCTTGACCCATGCCCCTCCTGGCTAGTGAAAGCAGCTCAGGAGGTGACATGTGGGTTGGATCCAGGCGATGATTACTACATCCTTGAAGGAGGGAGTGTTTCTGGCCGCCTTCAAGGAGGCGTTGGTGCACCCCCTCCTCAAAAAACCCTCCCTGGATCCTACCATACTGGATAATTTTTGTCCAGCCCCCCCCCCCCCCTTTTGGGGGAAGGGGGTTGAGAAAGTGGTGGCTTC